GAAAATCTGGAATTCTGGAATTATTCCAGATTCCAAAATCTGGAATTTTGGAATTCTGGAAGAGTTAGGCCTCGAAAATCTGGAATTCTGGGATTCTAGAATTATTCCAGATTCCAATTCTGGAATTCTGGAAGAGTTTAGGCCTCGAAAATGGGGAATTCTGGAATTCTGGAAAAATTCCAGATTGCAATCTGGAATTTTAGAAATCTGGAATAGTTATCTCTCGCAAATCTCGAGTTCTGGAATTCTGGACTCTTGCTACTCATCACAGTGCATGCCGCAAACTTTTGACCAGGTCTCGAGTGTCCTCTTCTACTCGCCCTGCGAACTTGGCTTGTGCATCACTGGACCAAGCACAGCTGTCACAGACTGTAAATAAGCGAGACCAGTTACCTGCTTACCGCTCCATGTCCACGGCATCGACAGAGCATCAGATTCGCACAGTATGGGACTATGTCGCGCGGAAGCCCTTAACATAAAGCCCCGAAACGGAAACCCTGAACTGTTACGCCGAGAACCCTTAGCACAAAACCCTTAAACCCTGAACTACTAAAAAGTTGCAGCGCAGTCATCGAAGTCGATTCTCGGCGTACCTGATCAGATGGGGGCGTGGGTTTTGGGAGGGGGGGGGTACCAAAAAAAAAAATATATATATATATATGTATATATATGTATATATATATATGTATATATATACATATATATGGGATCCCCCCATGTGCCCACCCTGTCCTCTCTTTTTTAAAGACAGCAGGAGGAATTCTCTGCCTTTCTGATGCGCCATGAAGGAAGCAGTTGTGCAGTCACCACCCTTATGATTCTTCCACTACACTCCCTCACATCTGACAATCTCCGACAAGGGGACATCTATTCACGGTCGCATTGTAAACAATATTGCCCTAAAATGGGCCTACAGATCGGCACCATTCCTGGAAAATCCAAAATTCCATTATTTCCGTGGAGATACCATGGGCAATTTCGGAGTTTTGGATTATTGAAAATTTGGATTTATAGACTGTTGGATTTTTGGATCTAAAAACAATCCAACAACTCAAAATTCTCAAAAAGCCCATAAATCCGCGAATCCAAGAATCCAAAAGTGGTTATGGCATCTCCGCGAAAATATTGGGTTTTTGGATTTTTGGATTTACGAGGAATTGCGCTTTCTGTGGCTGCGCATGCTTCCCACGAGGCTCCGCTTGCGCACCGGAGTCGGCATGAGGTTTCTCGGTCGCGTGCGCACCACGAGGGAGCTTTGATTTATGCGAGTTACAAGACTTTGTCCAATATGTTGTTCATAAGAGTATATAAGGTGTAGTTTTCATGACTGGTCACGTAAACCGTGCATTCTCAACCCTATCCAACTGCTGACCATTACCTATTATACCTGCCGTAAGACTGTTTGTGGTGATTTGTAACTAACTCATATACCGTTCACTTCATCAAACACATCTTTTGAATGTGTAATCTTCAGACAGAATTTGTTTATTCATAGTACATTTATCTGTTGACATTGGGTTGACATTTGTTCATATTAAAATTATCTAGGAAACAATGGGTTGACATTTGTTCATAGTAAAACTATCTAGGTAACATTGGGTTGACATTTTTGTACGGTATAGCCTAGTCAACTCAGTCAATGTAAACTGTATTCATGTAACAGACAGCTGATGATTGGATAACCTGTAATCATTTGGTCTTCGTCATGTTTGCATGAGTATCTACTCAAATTTTGTTCTGAATTATCCAACCTTGAAAAGAATCCGAACAATTGTTTAAATTTTTAGATACTGACTGTAGGTTGCCTTCACCGGGAAGAAGATAACATTGAATACGAAACACCCATGACGTATCCATTATATACAATACTTCACAAACGTGTACACAGTCATTGTTTCAATATTCGCGAACTATGTATAAGAGATGAGGTAGGCATTGGGTTACATGCCGAACGAATATTCATCGAATTAAACTAATAGTAATTGAACACTGATGAAATATCAACTACAAAGGACCAAATACCTGCCATAAGTTGCCGTAACAGTTACTTGTGACAAACCTATCAAACCATGAAGCAAACACTGCTGTCAGGCTGCTTATATAATATGTGAACATCAAACAATTAGCAAGTGCAAACTACACGCCGACTATATTCCTAAAAATGTGTTCATGTTCAGTGCGTGTTAACAGTGGTCAGCAGACATAGAAACATAGCACAAGACCCGTTATTGGACATCAACTAGGTAACTCGACATCCAACGAAGGCTTAAGCAACACTTAGCTACATTTTGATTTGTGATACCGAATGCTTAACCTATGATACCGAATTTCTACCTAGAGACCTGGTATGTCTCTGCAAAAAGTAATTGCCCGACCGGGGTGTCTGCGTACACAGCTGGTGTGCAGCTAGCTTCGCTTCTCGCTGAAACCAGGTTTTACAAGGTACAGGTCATGTTTTATGAGTGCATAGTTGCCGCAATCTGCATGAAGTTTTTGTTGTCGCTTGATTCCAAACAGGTTACATGTCATGTGCGAACATGAGTGCATGCGCAGACGTGCACCAATAATTAACGACCTTTCTGGTCGTCGTTCACATCAAGCTTGGGTCTCGCAGTACCGGCCAGACATGTATCTGGAGCTCCCTCATGAGGGCCCACTGTTTTGCGGCGAATTATGCCGGCGCAACGGCGCTCTTGTGCAGGAGTTCCGGAAATCACTTAGGATTTGAGAACATGTTCAAAGTGGAAATCAAGCAGAGATCAACGGTCACGTCTGGAGATCAACAGTCATGTCGGGAATCGCTTGATGCTCAGACTGTAGCCTGCTGTTCAAGTGCTTTGTGGTCTCCACTGTTTTTGGTCTTACGCTTGCTTTCAACATGGATCGTGGAGAGTACTCCACCTCCCTGAACCCAGCCCTGGGCCCTAAACCCCAAAGCCAGCCCACAGCCTGAGCCCTAAAACCTAAACCCTAAAGCCAGACCACAGCCTTGGGCCCTAAATCCCAAACCTTACAGCCAGCCCACAGCCCTGAGCCCTAAATCGTAAGCCCTAACTAAAGCCAGCCCACAGTCGTGGGGTCTTGGGCCCTAAATCCTAAACCCTGAAGCCAACCCACAGCCGTGAGCCGTAAATCCTAAACCCTAAAGCCAGCCCACGGCCCTAAACCCTAAACCATAAAGCCAGCCCAGATGTGTGAAACAGGCCTTAGCATTGGTCCCAGCCCAGATGACCGAAACAGGCCTGAGCATTGGTCCCCGATAACCGAAAAAGGCCTGAACATTGGTCCCCGATAACATTGGTCCCCGACGACCGAAACAGGCCTGAACATTGGTGGTCAAATGACCGATAAGTGCCTCAGGGTTTAAAAAAAATAGGTACAGAGCATATAGGGCTTAGGACTTAGGGCTTACGGTCCAGGGCTTAGGGCTTTTGGGCTTTAGAACTTTAGGGCTTTAGATTTTAGTGTTTCAGGGTTGTAGAGTTTCAGGGTTGGGGGTTCAGGTCTTAGGGTTTAGGGTCTAGGGTTTAGGGTTTCAGGGTTTAGGGTTTTAGGGTTTATGGTTTAGGGTTTAGGGTGTAGGGTTTGGAGTCTAGCGTGAGGGTTGAAGGTTGAGGCTTTAGGATTTAGGCTATAGGGTTTAGGGCTTTTGGGTTTTAGACTTTTAGGGCTTCAGGGTTGTAGGGTTTTAGTTTAGGGTTGGGGGGTTACGGGTTTAGGGCTTAGGGTGTGGGGTGAGGGTTGAGGGTTGAGGGTTGAACCCTAAACCCTAAACCCTAAAACCCTAAACCTTAAGTAAACCCTAAACCCTAAACCCTGAACACTAAACCCTAAACCCTAAACCCTGAACCCTAAACCCTAAAACCCGAAACCCCAAAACCTAAAACCCCAGACCCTAAAACCCTAAACCCTGAACCCCAAAACCCTAAACCCTAAAGCTTAAACCCTGAACCCTGAAACCTTAAGCCTTGAACCCTAAACCCTCAGCCCTAAATTTAAATAAACCCTAAACCGTTAACCGTAGACCCTAGACCCTAAACCCTAAACGATGAACCCTGAACCCCGAACGCTGAAGCCCTACAACCCTTGAAGCACTACAACCCTGAAACCCTAAAACCTAAACCCTAAAATTCTAAAACCCAAAAGTCCTAAACCCTAAACCCGATGGTTCAGAGTTTAGGGTTTAGGGTTGAGGGTTTAGGGCTCAAGGGGGGGTTTCAGGTTTAGTGTTTTGGGTTTAGGGTAGAGCTTTGGGGTTTGGGGTTTAGGGTGTTAGGGTTTAGAGTTTAGGGATTAAGGTTTTGGGTTTAGCGTTTTTGGGTTCAGGGGTTTAGGGCTAGGGTTTAGGGTTTCAACCCACTTGGGGAGCGCACAGTCGACCTGGTGACTTAAACCTTACCTCTGCTCTATAAACAAACCAACGAGCCCACAACAACCGGACCCTGTAGGGAATGCACGCTCGACCTTGTCGCAAGCGCACACTCGACCCCGCCCCTGTGTGCCTGCCTTGATCAGGCAGCTGCCAGATGGGAGCTGCCGTGGCCTTCGCAAACAGGCCTGAGAAGGGTCTTCGCCCTCTTCGCCCCTCGGAATTCAGAAGCATCGCTGCGGCCCCGGCCGCGACCGCACGGCCTGCCAATGCATGTGCCCGCAACTTCACCTGCACCAGCCCTCTGGCAGGGCACCTCGGCGCGACAGCATCGTCACAGGAAGACCCCGACCTTGAAGCACTCAAGTTGCGGGATTGTCGAAAGCACATGCAGCTACCACAGCTCGGTGAAACACTTCACGCCAGGCCGGAACTTAGACGGGCAGCAAGGACTCAGCCGATCTGTTTTTATATGTGAAGTGTGCAGTGTGACGTCACTTTGCATGCACTTTACATGCGAAGTGCTGAGACTTTCGTTCGACCTCATCTGCATTCCATCTGAGTTCGGGTGTGCCACGCTGCTTCTGTGTGCGGGAGCCTGCAAGCCAAATGCCTGCTGCCACTGCCACACTCAGCAGAGGTGTCCAAAGCGATGTATCCGTACTTCGCAGCCGGCGATGAAATTCGCAGCCGCTCCCCGTTCCTGACAGCCCCTGAGGTCCAGCGGCTCCTGGTCGTCGCTACGGTGCACCAGGCGGTCCACGATCTCCTCAGGAGGTGGCCTGGCGGCAGGCCACAAGGCCACAAAGCTCGGCCCAAACTCGCCCTGGCTCTGCAGAGCCTGAACTTCAGGTGGTAGATCTCGCCAGTCTCGGGGTCCAAGCCTCGAGAGTCGGCACTGCTTTGCCCAGCATTCAAGGACATGGTCTTCGCCCGAGCACCAAGCGACGGCCGCAGCCGCGCTCCACCAAGGTGTCGTCAGGCACCTTTCTCTTGCCCACTGCGCATACAATTCCTGAACGTGAAACTAGATGACTAAACAAAATCAGGGTTCTGCAGATGGTCGTGCATGGTCGTGCATGTTGCGCTGCAACTGCCACGGTGTTCTGATTTTGCTTGGTCACGATGCTTCTGCTACAGTATCATCTCCTCAACCTATAGCGGTGTCTTTGCAACTGCTACGTCCCAGACCTTAATCACCAGGAACTTCTGGACATCCAGGCCAGCATCCACCATGGCCTCAGCCTCGCAGTTCAAGCAGGCAGCAGTAGATCCCATTTGAGCATGACCATATGCCACCCTTCACAGCCCAAATCTCAGACTGAATAAGATGACGACGTGCAGCTAAACTTTTTCACATCGACCGCGTGAAATTGACCTTAAATCGCTTGATCATCTGCTCCGGCTTGCCTGATCCGGGGCGCGAGGAAAGCCATCCAACAGGCAGCCCTTCTCCTCGCAGGCGACCAGCAAAGGCCCTTGGCCCTGTTTGCTTCTGATCCCTTCAGAACGGCGTCCTTCACGTCCTCCTGCATCAAGCGATCCTTCGCCGCAGTCAAACGATGGCCGATGGCCCCTCCTTGGAGATGGTTTGGCATTGGCCTTGACCAGGTCCACAATGAGCTCGCTAGGGACCAACCTCGGCACGTGCAAAATCGTGCGCGAAGGAGGCAAAATGCAGGACTACTTTCCAAGCCTACTCTCGGGCACTCGGGCACCCTTGGGGCACCCTGCGCACCGGAGTCCATGTAGCCCTTGGCCTGATGCGACTCCGCACTCAAAAGGGATTCCAAAAAAGACGGGCACAATCTCTCAAACTCTGCCTTCTTGCCCAGTTCGGTCTCCTTCTTCACGTTGTCGCGGAGGATGTCGCCTGACTCTGAAGACTCTGGGGCAGTGCCACGCAACGAAGGCTTTTCTTCCTTTTTTCTCAAAGTTGTGTCTACACTGGATAATGTGCTCGTACACGAGACAAGCACAACGCCTGTGGAGATGTGGACGAAACCGTACTTGTCCTGGCCAGCACCGCATCCCGTGAAGTGTGTGCAAACGTTGAATTCTTGACTTTCAGGTCACTGTTTGTCTGCAGCGGTTAGTTGATCTGCTGCCGCGAACCACCTGTAGTATGCCAGGTCATGCCGACGGCATTCGATGAACACAGCGGTTGATCAGCGAAGAGCTCCTTGATCTTCTCACACTGCGTGCCCTTGCCTGCGTGACAGCACCATGGCTCCAAATGTCTGCCCTTCCACTCCCGGGCCTGCCGCAGGTGGGCCAGCAATGACCTGTCCCAAGGCAGACTCGCGGCAAAAACCTCGAACTCTGAGCTGAGGCCAGGACGACCAGGGAGCCCTTGGCATCTCCACCCCGAGCTTGGCAAAGAGTCAGCTGGAGCCTCAACAAAGATGCAAGGCTTCGCAGTAGGGCTCAGCAGGAGTTCAACACAGGGCAGATATTCCCAGAATCCGAGGGGAACCCGTTCTAGCCTGCAGACTGATTATGGTGCTAGGCCTATCTTGGCCTCCAAACTCCATAAAGCGGCCACGTCGTGAGGAAGTTGCTCTAAAGCTCAACTCCTTGAGGAGTCCTTGTCAGACTAAGCGTCTATCACCGCGGCCAGTTCTAGTAAACTCGCTGGCTGTGACTTCGGCTAGCTGTCGCGAATCTGCAGGAATCTCGTGCCGGACAAGTACCAAGGTGCTTTCAACCGGCAGCCCTGTTTTCACATGCCGAATCAGGTTTTCAGAAATCAGAACTCAATGTAAAAGAACACGACAAGCGTATAATACTTTAGCTTCTGCGCTCCAAGCATCTCCAGTTGCACATCTTACAATTCGGGGCTTTGGCCTCGGCCTTCTAGACATGCTACGTTTCCTGGATGCCCTGACCAGAGCCCGACTTCGAGGACGCCACCGCTCGTTGGGCCGGAGCTTGGGCGCAACCTTTCAATGAAAAAAGGCGTATGCGACTAAATCAAACAACTTCGACGTAACAGGGGAGAAGCTCCGGGGCCGCGGCAAGGAGGGCCTCGGATGAGCGGCGCAGCGCGCTGCCTCAGAGTGCAGCTGGAAAGGGAGCCTTTCCTTCGAGGTGAAGCGTGTCAGCTGCTGCGTTTACAACGGCTGCCTGTGAAGTTGTGTGCGTTGGGATGCCTATTTTCGAGCGGATCCTTTCCGTCTTTCATTCCCTTTCTGCGCAGCTAAGTTTGCTGACAGCACTGTTGCTCAAAAGAAAACCGCTTTCTTCTCCAAGTCGCTGTAGCTACTGCATGGGACATTTCCTGCTGCACTGGTGTTCATCGCACGGGTGAGCTTCTTGGAATACCAAGATCTGTTGCGTGATTCGGCATCATATTTGTTCCAGATGCGTCCGCCAACCCAATCCGCCTCGCTCGCCTGCTTGAAATACTCTCTTCTTCAATAACCAGGCTCAACAAAGTTCAAAATTTGGGATGGACCTAATATATCACGCCAGAAAGTTTAAAGTTCCCCCATTGGCTATCTAAGCAATAACTCGCCTTCCAGCATTCGGTGTGGTTCCATCCAGATGCTGCAGAACTCCTTGAAAGCTGCTTTCGGATGCATCGCCAAACCTTCACCCAGAATTTCAATTTCGAAGCAGAACAAGGCTTAGAGATTCGCATATACGCCAAGAGTCTCTCTTGTTTCATGCCAGGCTGTAGACCAAATCAAACAGCTAGAACAACCAATCATTCACATGAAGGTCACCGTCTATTCAAAGAGGAGGGTTTCGGTGCGTCGACGGAAGAAAGTGGCTTTCAAAGTGACGGGCGGAGGGCCCGTCTGGAACCACTGCAGCTGCCGCTAAGGTCTCTGACTGGGCGTCGAAGAGAATGAGGTGAAGACATCGTCCAGCCTTGTCTGCCCAGTGAGATGCCAAACATGCTAGTCTTGCTGTTGCCAGGCCCCCTTCTTCCTTCGAAGGCAAATTAAGTCATAGTGTTTCCACGAGGCTGCTCGTGGCTAACTAGCGTTTGGTGGTCAATTGCTGATACGCTAGGGTTCAGCTCCAACTGACATAGGACGCATGGGGCCGCAATAGATACCCAATTCTCCATCAGTCTCGTCATGCATCAGCCACAAAAGTATCGAAAACTGGTCAGGCCTGAAGAACAGCGGTGCCAGAAGCAAAACTGCCAGCGAGCCCCGGCTCCGTCGAGCACCTCAAGTTTGGACCGGATGGGTCTCTAGCCTCTAGCAAACTCTACCACTCTAGGACACTGTGATCTGTTCCGGAAGAATTGCATAAATCTGTGAGCGGAGCAAGCCGAGCCCCTATCTCCGACGTTGCCCTAAGCTGAGGACAGAACCTGCCATTGCTACCGGTCACCAAGTCCACTCCACTCAAAGGCGCCAAGCTGAAAAAAGCGACAGCATGCAGCGGCATAATGCAAGCCGAAAACTCCACTCGGCACAGCCCATGCCCTGGGTGGGGTCCCCTTGCCAGATGCCCGAGTCGGCAGGGGAGGGGGCGCACCCGGCAGTGTCGTCGCCCTGGTGCCGGCCTTGGCAGAGCTTCACCATGACGGAAACTCAGGAAGGCTCGTAGGTTTCGCGCGGCTGCACACGGCGGACCAATTTTCAATCATGCGCGTGAGACAATACTGGGGAGGGCTGGAACCCTCCATTTACGAGGTACTGACATGGACCTGGCGGCCTGGACTGCGGTCTGAGCCTGGGCATTGCCCCGAAAACATGTGTTGATGGAGTCCGCAGCAGACAAGCCCCAGCCCCGGCTACTTTGAGGTCCTTTGACCTAGATATGGTACATCGAGATGATGGCAATCATCCCCGCGGGTCAACATTGAAAGCTCGAGGCGTGGGACGGAGATTTGGCGTTGAGAGCCCCAGACTTTGAGGCTCCAAGCCAAAAAAGGCTCTCAAACTTAAACAGGATCTCAAAGCCACGCGTTGCTATGATATCAACTCGAGTCCCTTGGCAGCGGATAGCAGCTGGACTGAAATGAGGATGCATATGTCAAGAGGAGCCGATTTCTACAGATCGAGAAGACTAGGACGCTGGCCCCGCACACTAACCCTGGCTGGAATAATAGGTGCACTGGCTTCGACATCTGGAGCCCAGGGCCGCCTCAGCCTCACAGGGTCACGAGACCTCGCCAAAGGTCGTTATCCTAGTAAGGGGAATCTTTGTACATTGCCATGGGCCATCATGAGCCCATGGGCCCATGCACGGGCCATGGTCACGATCCGTCGCGATCATCCATTTTGTAGGTCCTTGCGGTGGACACAGGAGGCCCTGGCGCTTCGGATTGCAAAACGGCAGTGCTGCACAGCCACTGGCATCTCCCAGATCGGCTGGTCTTCCGCGTCAATCGGGAAGAGCATGGGCAAAGGCCCGAAAACGAAGCTGAGAATGGAGAGACCTCGGAGAAACGCTAAGCTGGGAAGACATGACATCTGGCGAGGCATACTGATCTACGAAAGCCGTCCCGACATAGTCCATTCGGGCCAATCCTACAGCAACTCAACCTACAGTCAACTCTTTGGCTAAAGAAACAGTCCTCTTGAGGTCGTGGTCTGCTCTCTCCTCAACATCTATCGACTAACTCATTCGCAGCTGAGACGCTGCTTTCTTTCGGCAGTCTGAGGGGCTTGGAGACCCAACTCCCATCATCGAGGTGAACCTCGGCTCTTCCCGAGGAGCCATCGCAAGGCCAAGGCCAAGGCCGCCAAGAGGCACAGTGCTCTACGTAGTACTTGAAGACGAAGAAGGAGGTCACGGCCAGCATCCCAAGCAGCCGCCGAGGGATCAAGGCGGCCCAGAGAGCCGGCGTCCAGCAATGCCAGTTCCTCCCAGAAAGGCTTTACTCATGCCCCCCTTCTCCAAATTCCGCTCAAACAACTCAAGCTTAAAACAGTTTGCGGAAATCCGCCGGACAGGTCCTGGCAAGCTGGTGCCGGCGGCACTCTTCCTCCTCCTGGGATATAGAAATACCCCTGTCTAAGTGTCCTGAACACCCAAGTAAACAGAAAAGAAACTCCTAGCAAAGCTTCCAAAGATTTCTGCAGGGCATCTGGTAAGTGGGTCTGCGGCCGGTTCTCTTTGGCATAGCCTTTCAGAACCTCCAGCATCTTTGTACACTCGGGGGGCATGATGCCCATCATTAGCTCATCCTCGGAAGATCACCCTTCCCTATAGGGAATCCATCGGGTGCTTCATTAAGCTCTGGTTAAGGTGCATTGCCACTGTGGAACATCACCAGATGCTGCATGGCTGCGATTTGCAAAATAAATCCAAGAGCAACGCAATTGATGATCATATCTTCAATTTCGGACGTCTCCATCAAGAACACCTGTTCAAGAGCAGACTCTGTATAAACCAAAATCCCGAATTTCCCACTTCGAACAAGTCCATGCACGAGGCACGATCCCGATGTCGACGGTTAGCAGCCAGAGATAAATCTTGGGACACAGCAAGCAGAACAAATTGAAGAGCTTCCAATGCAGCGGCATGCCGGCCTCAGAGACAAGGATCGGTGTGTTTTGGGCATAGTGGTTCCAGGGTTCACGGCATGCGAACACGAGGGCGTTCTCGCCCGCCCTTGTCTCACGCGATTTTGTGCAGCTGAGCTGCTACACGAAACTGGACAAAGTCCAACTCAATCATCTCATGAAGAGCAGCATCGGTGTAAGCTTGGCTGACTCCGATTTCTTCTTCCTGGCGGCAGTACGATATTGGAGGGTTATGCTCTCAAAACATATGTTCGATGATCTAGTCTTCCCGGTGCCCGTTTTGGCATCTGTGCACTCTGATGGAAGCTTCACGACCCAACTTAGCTGTTTTTGTTGGTCGATCGAATCCAGTCACAAGCATGTTGAAAGATGACAGCGCTGGGTGGCGTCCTGCGGCTTCTGCCCTGCTGTGGGCACGATCCTCAGACGCAGAACTGGCACAAGCTTACATTACAATTAAACATGTATATTTACGTGCACAGAAACACAGAGACACACACTTGTGGAATCTTTCACACCCCCGTCAGCCGCTACGGCCGAGCTTCACTCAACTCTACCACATAAAACGCAAGCCGACTTGGAAGTAGGTGCACACTCTCAACAATGTCATCCATTCTGAATAGCTTGAATAGCAGGTACATTCAGCCGGCCACACCGGACAACTTGAGATCTTACGGAAAGCTTCGTTGGGCAGGGCTCCTTAAGTCTCTTCTGCCTCTCCTTTTATGAAAATGAAGTGGAATTTACCGACCGTACCATACGAACTTAACGTGCACAACTTACGACCTGTGGGCTTTTTGCACCCACTCTGCGGGAAAGGGTTCTGGCAGCATCGCCGTCACCACACACCCGACCACCCGACTGGCGGAGTCATCTGCCAGGAAAATGCCGCGCAGGAAATGCCCACATGACTTTTCTTCACAGAACAAAAAGGGCTTTAGCAAAAAGCCGCCAAGAACCTGGGGACTGCGCAAAGATTCGATTTAAATTGTCCATTACGTGATCTGTCTCAGCCTCCGCGGTCGAAGGCCGTGGTCGAGCCAGTTGTTTAATCTTAACCGTCCTCTTGCATGATCGAATCGTTGCGATTGAGCATAGTGCAGTACTGGTCATGTCAACTGGTTGCATCATTCAATTTCTCAACGTCTGCTTGCCAGATTGCTCGGAAGATGGAAGATGGCACTGGCACCATCAAGCTTCTCAAAGGTCGCAAGGTCCACAGAACTTGCGTTGCAAGCGCCACGTCCCGTGATAATCTGCTCTAGCGACCCCAGGTACATGCAAGTGAGCAGGAACGACACCTGTCGCAGCTTTTTAGGCGCAAGGATAAACTGATGAGGACAATACCTGAAAATTTGGCACGCGTATCGGAGGGATTTGAGGCTCGGACGACAATGGAAGAGTCTGCCCAACTCGTGCTGCGGGCTGCCATGTGGATGGTAGATTCGGGAGAACCACGCCATCCCATCGACTGAAACGACCAAGAATAATCCGGCATCCGACTTTGTGGTTACCGTTGCTATGAACATGGTAACATGGCATTGAACACTGCGCCGGAGGCGGTGGTGAAATTGTAGCACGTGGCGGCGGTGACTATGGATGCTGGAAACTTTGAGAAGGGCAGTTGTTCTGGAGGGACCATGGGCCCTGCATCGGAATGCCGTGGATATCAGTGAAGGTGACCTTGCAGTACGGCCAGAATTACACTTATGGTGGGATCGATTTATTTGGCGAATGAGCTGAGGTGTAGCAACTCCTTGCCGCGCAAGAGAACTCCAATTACCAGGGGGTGCAGAAGGTTCAAGTTTAGCTGAAACATTGAGAGCAGGTGCAAGCAGCCGTAGATTTGAACGGCCCGGTGGTGTATCACCTGATCCTGTCAATGATGACATTAGCAAATCCTGACTGTGGCCAATTGGCCAGTGATCAGGTTGAAGTTTGCGCTCGTGGCTCGCCACGAACTAGCATGGGATCACGGCAATGCTGCACACATCAAAGCTCGGAGGCGGGAAGTCGTGGAAGAAGATAATTTCACAAACGAACCACATGAAAGCAAGTGGAAGAACGGAAAACACAAGGCTTTGAAGGTTTGCACAATTGAAGCAGTTGGGTGTGTACTTTGAGCCACAAGCTGGGACGAGTAACGTCCCAGCTTGATGTGCTTTGCATCGCCCGAGCTAGCAGTTGCATGCTCAGCGCAGCGGATGATCTGGAAACCCACACCTTGCACGAGGAGTACACCTAAATACTGCAAAAAGCACTGGAACCCACAAGGAGCCCACTTGAAATGCTATAAACTCAGGAAACGCGTTGCGACAGCCGTTGGTAGTCAATCAGAACCGCACAACCGGGTTTGCCCTGGTCCTCGTCGCTTACATTGCTACGCATGGCATGGAAAGAGCTTTCAACAGGTCTATGTGTGGCAGACCCCACACACCTTTTCGCAAGTTCTACTGCAGCCTCCAGAAGGAACCCGACGCCATTTCGGATGATCTTACGCACTTTCCTAAAAACTGCAAAAACAGCGAAGACTGTTGCTCAAATATGCGGCACATGGAGAATGACTGCTTCACGGGAAAGCCACACGCCCAGACGAGAAATAACTACGTATGTCCGTCCACATGCAACAGCCCAGCCAAGCAGTGTGACCGGGACTGTGGAAACAAGTGCAGAAAGCCTCCTGCAGCAGTGAGAGGCCGCCTCAAGGGCAGTGGCTCCGAGCCGAGACTCAAGCCGGCGACGTGTGCATCGCCCAAGTTCTCAACGAAAGCGGCACCAGGATCCTCATCAAGACCGGCAGCGGCCAAAATGGCCCCCGCAGGTTCAAGCAGCTCGGTATAATAACCTTTCTGTTCCGAGTATCGCCAAAGCTCCTTCACAGTGTCGCGAGGTAAAGTTGCAGCGCACAGACCAGCGCCGGCGGGCGAAGCGTCCATGCAGAAAAGAAGGTCCGGGTAGTCCATGTGCCAATCTGTTTGCAACAAAGGAGCCAAAGCGCACAAAGTGAAGAGCTCGTTGACCGAATCACGTTCGAGCTGATAAATCGTGTCTCGCGGAGCTCGGCTTGCATCAGCGAACACGCTCTGTAATACAGCCAAAGCCGGCCTCCGAAACATCAAAACATGTACCCAAAGGCCCAAGATGGATGATAATAAACTCGCTGAGCAGTAGCCTCTCCGAGCAACAACACAAGTGATGCGCATCAGCACACCAATGCGATGCCTGGGAGCAGAGACCAAGCATCAGCATCGGCATCGAGGAACGTTCCAGAGGTAATGTTACGCTGACGTTTCTTGGGGCGCTGAACTAAACCCACAGCGGGATAAGCGCGATCGGGGCCTTGGAAAACCTGGGTGTCCTAAGTGAAGCTGCGGCCTTGGGTTCATCGCGAGTGCGAAGCTGTGAAGTAAGATGATCATCAATGGACAAAGGCTCAGGCGGACCTGGGGAAAGGCCGACGGTAAACGACATATTCATGTGGTCGCATGCTGCAGCCAATCGAACTAAGCACATGAAAATGACTTCGCCGAGCGAACCCCACAGCCCGACAATCACCCATGGCGACCAACGCAATGTAACAAAGCTGGTTATGAACCGAAGCATCGAAACACTGAACCCCTCAAGTTCCCAAGGGCTGAAAGGCATTCCCAAGCAGTTGCGTTCAGCACGCGAAGGCGTGACAATGAAAGTATAATACATTTCGGACAAGTCGTCGCAGCAAAACCGAAAGATATGATTATCGGAAGGAAGGTGGGCTAAAGCAAGAAGGGAACCCGGGGCTAAAAGTTTTGTAAAACGACTAAGCCCTTGAGTTCTGCTATTGGCCACGACCGGATTGATAATGAAACTATCGTAAGAGGAATGTTTGCTCACTGCAAAACACCCAACGGTCTCGTGAAAAGGCGCACTAAGCGAAGCGCCTTGTGCTGATCCCACTTTGCCGCCAGCCCCAGCAGCTCGGCGCGAGTGCAATGTACCTGTGCTCGAGGAATGCGGGGCCAGGATGATTCCGTAAGCCTAAGAGCTTTAGTGTCATCATACACCATGCGGGCCAAAGGGTCAGAGAGGAAAGGCCGGGAATCGAATGACGGCGGCAAAGACCACTTGATGCACTGACACCAGCCTCTCCAGAGGCCGCGGCCTGAGGCGCCGATGCCGGGTTGGGCGAAACAGGAGCTGAGCCACGAGGGCGAGTACAGGTATCCAATCCGCCCTGAACTGCGTCAACGAATTTAGCAAGCACGCGGTCCACATCCGAAGTACGACAGGTGTCGGTCTGTGAGAGTTCCTCGGTCATGCAAGCAAGAAGGTTGTACTTTTCGGCCGACCGTCCAAGCGAAGTGGCACTGAACGGGCCAGCTCTCGAAAAGTGCAAAGTGTGGCGTTCAAGCGTCTCGAGAACCAAGGGGGCCGCACTTCTGGCCCTCACGGCCGCCGTGGTGCTCGCGATCTTTTTCTGGAAGGCGCTGGGACGGGCTGTCTGAAGGAGACTTGGCGAAGCTTCGCGAGGCAGCCGGGGCACCGCCACCCAGGATCGCTCAGCACGAGCGGGCTCTCGGGAAACAGCTGTGTGCAACAGGCCGACGATTGGCTAGCCGAGCTGGATTTGGAGGCCACCTAAGACGAGCCCGCGGCTGGGTCATCCGATCCAGACTCGCATGCTCAACCAGCTCACTGCGAGTCGTGCTCAGGGGCCCTTGGAATCAGCTCTAGCTTCGGGAGGAGCCAAAGACGACGGCAACTTGAACGCTCGAGGAAGTGCAGCTCGAGATTCTTACGTCCGCTTGCTCAAGGACAGTGCGCAGGTGTCGTCAATCCGCCGGCTGGTTGCCGAGGACTTGGGCGAATCGGTGGAGGACCCGCCCTCGAGCCCGATGTGCCCTGTCGGGGAGCACAAGACTTTGGCTCTGGTGGGGTCGTGTGCCGGCCACGCCTGCCAGCAAGCTCGCAAAAAAAAACAACAATGTCGAGATGGAGGCCTGGTTTGCAAGGCTAGTGTTATTCATCGACCAGGCCGGGACCGAGAATGGGCGAACCCGGCTGGCTTGGTTATTAGCTGGCCTTCCGGAGCCGAGCCGGTCAACGATGATGCGCCGCGAGAGCGGCATCACCCCTTCGCGAAAAGCTGCCCGTCCCTTTGGGCTTCTGCAAATCTGGCTTATCTTCGGGAGATGGACTGGCTCTCAAGCAAGCTCGCGAGCAGTGCCAGCGGCGATCCTCCCAAGGACGGGGGAAAGGACGACACCGCGACCGAGGAGAACGAGCACCTCAGCGACCTCCTCGCCGCCCTCGACGGTCCAAGGGCGGCCAAAACAGCTGAGGCCTAGGGAAAGAAGTGCATGCCAGACAGGCGGGGTGGAGCTGCGTCGGTCTGCAGGAGCTCTTCTTGAGCTATCTGATTCATTCATGTCGTTTTCTGATCCATGTGGGGCGAAGCCCTCAGTGGCGCCGAGAGGTTAGGCCTGAGCCTTCGAAGATTCCTCTCAAGGAGACGTGCTTCATCAAATGGGTCTCTAGTTTTTTATTCTCTTTGGGGTGCTAGGTCTGGTTTGGGGTCCTTCCTCAGAACATCCCTACGTGCTCCCGCCTGCAATGTTCTGCCTAGACACTCCCCAGGCGCGAGTTTGTGGGGCTGTCCCGATGCCCTCGCGGGCTCGATGGACGGCTCATGCATCCTGCGCTCTTGGGCCGCAGCGCCGCCGCCGAGCTAGGGTTCACAAGCTGGCCTGGGATTTAGTTCGGCTTAGGTTGGGGTTCTTAACTGGTTTTCCCTGTTGGATGCCCCCCCACCCAGTGCTTGCGCCGGCGGCACCGGTGACTAAACCGGCAGGAGGCGGGATGCTCTGAGCAGCCCGCTCCAAAGCAGCTACCCGAGCACGAAGTCGGGCCAGCTCCTGGTCTGGCTCCGGCGGCACGTCCTCCTCGTCTTCGGCCTCGCCCTCTTCGTCGGCAATCACGGGCTCCTCGACAGCTGTCGCGTACTCCCCCAATGGATTCCTGCAGCTCGGGCTCGGCAAGGCACGATTGATCCAAGCGTCCGCAGCAGCCAAGGCAGCAGCAACGATACGTCTGACAACGGTGCCCCCTAAGTAACCGATACCAGGTGCAGAGGACTGGATCGAAGTGAAGCGCCCCGCCTGAACAAGTCGACCCCGGCCAAAGGAAAATCGATAAGAAGCACAGGCACTGCTCCAACGGCTCACCGGCAACGGGTTTCGCAAGCCACGTCCGCCTCGGAGAAACCAATCCGAGCTCTCCTCCGCTAGCCCGGCCACCAACGTGCGAATAGCCGGGGTGTCGGGCACCAAAACCATGAAGCCACCAGCCCGGTACTTCGGGAGGAAGGCCGTCACCGTCATCGTAGGAGTCACATCGTCGTCCAGAAGATATATCAAGGGCAAAGGCCTGCCGTCCGGAGGATCGGTCAGGAGCTGGGTGATGTCCTCGCGCAGGCTCCCAAACCATGGCAAAGCAGCTCCACAAAGGTAGGCCTCCGTCTCGGATCGAGAAGGGAAGAAGTGGCAAATGTAGTTCTGCTCCAAATGCCCGTGGCGATCCCGCTGCACGTGGGCCTCGAAACACTCTGGGTGACAAACCCCGCCGGCACCGCAACGCACTGGAGCGCGATGTCGTACCGGTTCCGGATTCCCAAGCTCGGGCTCGAATAGAGAGCCCCTGCTGACAAACCAGCTCGGTAAGCCGGAGCGATCCGACCCTCAGGCGTCCAAGGACCCACCGGCCTCAAGCCCCGAGCCAGACGACCAAAGGGGCCCAGCCGAAGAGCACAAAGTTCCTCAAGAGCAGTCGCTGCAAGAAAGTCCTCGGAGGCCGAAGTGCCCACGGGAGCTTCGGAAGGCTGAGCTGCCTCCCCAGCAAAGATCCAGTTGAGGCTTGGGGGCCGTCGGCGGGAACTTCCACGAGTGCAAAAGATCTTGTAGGTAAGGGAAGGCTGGCGCTCACAGCTGAAGTTGCAGAGGCCTCGTCGGTGGATACAGTAATCTCAAGATCAGCGAGAGAACTCCGATCACTCATTCACGGTGCTCCTGCAAACACCTGCCAAGTTGAGCTCGCAGCCCTGGAGAGGGCACAGAGGTCAGTTCCAGCCAGGCAGCAATAAATCTCAAGCAATGTGAGCAGTAGCGGCGCGCAGTGGCAGTTCAAGCCAGAGCAATGCAAGCACTCCCAAGCAACAGCCGAAGCAGCAGCAAAGTCTCGCCAGCAAGCCCGCTAGCCAAAAAGGGAGGCCGCTGCTATTGCTAGGTCCCCTCCCCAGCAATCTCAGGCAGGACAGCCCACATAAAGAAAGAAGCTGCAGAGTCACAACTCATCGGCTGACATGGGACATTGTGCATACCTTCCCATCCTCCCCCGATCTAATTACTCCTATGGTTTCATTCAATAGTATTACCAACATGGTCAGGATTATTAAGATAACTGTACTGATTGCGGGTTTTGTTGTTGTTCCTGATATTGTTGATGTTACTGCGTTTGTGGTCGTGGTTGTGGTTGTTGATGTTGNNGTCGCTGGCTGCTGTTACTGGTCACAATGGTTGTAAACGGGCTGAGGTATGTTAGAGTTGCAACATTGGAATTCACACTAATGGAACCACAAAGACCAACACAAAGGAATGGCAAAGATCAGCAGACACAGAAACATAAATAAATATATGTATGTATGTATGTATGTATATCATTACAAATACAAGTATTGCAAACAACACATACAACAAGCCACGCTGGCCAACACTCAATAAACACTTCAGGAAAGTAGTGTTTCACATGCGATCTCAACATCAGCAACA